TATTTTTTTTTATTGTGTTGCACAATTACACAATGTAGAATCAGTCATGTACGGTGAACTTTTTTTTGTTTTCTTGTAATTTGGTGCGGTCTAGTCTACATATTCATCATCATTGTCCTTTTAAATATTTATCTATATTGTTCCCAGATATGTAGTTTGTAAAGTTCAAAAACTTCTTGCCTCAGCCGTACAATTTCAAATTTTAAATTTTCCAAATAGGGGCTTTTGCAGTGATGGTGATCATATGTAGAAACTTAATGCTCATATACCTACCTATACATATATAGCTCAATGAGAACTATATTGGTCCCCTAACGTGTCCACTCTTCTATTACATATTAGGTGCAATCCCGTATTCCTCGGTCTCGGACTAGTAAAACTGTCAAAAAATAAAAATTCGCTCAGAGCGAGAGAGTAACAATGAAAAGTACGGGATCGCTTTCTAGTAAAAAATGGTAACTTCTGTCAACTTCAACATAACCTCCAAATTTTGGTTGTAAATTTTTGCTTATTTTGTATGTAAACACACTCAGCTCACACATGTAAATAACCAAAAATACTTTCAAATTCATTAGAATCCACTTAACCAAGTAATTAAATACTTTTCAACATGAATTAGCAGAGTGCACTTTTCTTTTGTTTACAATTTGGTTGCCAAACACACTACAGCTGATCGTTTGACACATCTACCAGAATTTACCAGCGGACTAAAACTGGTAACTTCTGACAGAGAGAGAACCGTATTTACTCTCTTTTTTGTCCTCTCAATAGTCAGAGAACCGAGTATGGGATCGATATCCAGTAAAATCTGACTGATTCTGACTATTTCTGACTAGTCCGGACTCGTACGGGATCGCAACTACTATGTACATACATATCGTCGTTTAACGTACAAAACCGCGAATCGTCATTCTGCAAAACCGCGTAACTGACATTGGCTGCCAAAAATTGGATTTGCTCACACAAGCTCTTGGCTCAATCCTTATCCATTCGTCCTGAAATATACTAGCCAGAAATGCGATTGCTTTATAAAAACGAGAACCATTTTGAAATATGAGTGTTTTTTGCTCTAGAAAATAATTTCTACAACTTTACATACGCGGTTTTGCATTTTGCTGATACGCGGTTTTGCATTTTGTTGATACGCGATTTTGCACTTTAAACGACGATATATTTATGTATTACTAGTAAAAATAGTATGGGGAAAAAATCTGTCAACGAATTGCTTACGTCCGGTCACGTCCGACATCATGGAAACACTCTTATGTACATATGTATATACTTGTATATGTGTAAACATTTAGGTAAATAGTACTTACATGTCGTATGAGTAATGTCTTCAATCTTAATGAATTTGTTCGCAATTTCTTTGCAGGAGACACAGCAATACCTCTGCAAGCCCAGTCCAGCGCGTATGAAACTTGTAGTTTTTATTTGTCTTTCTATTTATACATTTGGCGATAATTCACAAAATATAATTGCTTTTAGTTGTTAATTTTTTCTACATAAGTTACTCCAAACTTTTATTAGAACAAAAGACCGAGGTGTTAAAGAATGCAGCCATCGTTAATTTATATCAGGTACCGTAACAGTTATAAGTTATATATAGCTCCGGATTAAGGACAGGGCCGACATGCCCACATATCGTAATTTTTATTAGGTTTGTATAGTAACTTTTCCAGTAAAACATTGCAGCGAGAGCGTAAAAGCAAAATAGAGCGTAAAATTGAGAAGAGAAAACTAGCAGAAACGGTTATTGAACACAGAAGTAGTAAAAACTGGCAAGTGAATAGTTGTTGCACCGTTTTGATATTCTGCTGTAAACATTTTACTATATATAAATCAGTTTAAAAACCATTTGCTTTACACACAAGCACTTACACAGTCCAGTACATCATTAATATTTTGATTTCCACCCATTTCACTTTTGTTTGTGATAAACCAATTCAACAAATGGCGACTCTTTACATTTATGCATCTTCTTCTTCTGCTAGCTAATTTCTGCTAGTAAAAATTCACTAACAAGAATTTGCAGCTCTCCCGTATTGTTACGCTCTCGATTCAGTGCTCTCTTGCAAATTTTTTGGGTTATCCAGTCTGGTTCTGCAATTCACTTTCGAGTGAATTTCAATCAAACTCGCTTTGAATTCAAATTGGCAGGGGTTGAAATTCACTCGGAAGTGAATTGCAGAACCCGCCCGAATATACACTTTTCCAGTGAAAATTTGCAGGTTCCAGTACAAATTAGTACTGACTATGGGATACTATACAAACCTATTGTTAAACTTTACGAAATTGTTAATAGAAAAAATTGCAAAAGTTTATGCCAGAATATCTAAAGAAAAAATCTGTTGGAAGGTCACAACGAGATCATCATGCTGCCTGAGTTACGCTATGGCTGGGAGTAAATACCACCTAAGTGGTAATTGTTGTGCAGAAATACTGTGAAGACTTGGGCCAAGATGTACCGGCAAAATATCCTTGAAATCGTAATGGCAGATATGCTATTTGATGAAAAACAGTAGGGGTATTCTCCAAATCTTGCAAAGCCATTGCACGTAGCACGGATTGCACGGATTGCATAAATTGCAAACACACAACAAGAAAATTCATGGGAAACAACATTTCCTATCGCTGCAAAATATGCAACGTCGAAACCCATGTATATATTTTGCAAAATAGCATAGCAAGATAATAGCGACCCTGTGCTAGTTGTTTTGTTGTTGGAATTGCTACATATTTCTCTCATTCCTCTCATCTCGCTCACTTAATTTTTTTTTGCTGTCTCTTGTTATTGTATTTGATACATAATTTCGCTGCTTGCTCCCCATGCATGCTACCACTTTGCAATGGGGTGTTCTCGTACTCTTCGAAATTTGGAATAGTATTTTTGCATTTCGTGCAATCCGTGCATCGTGCAAGACTTCGAGAATACCCCTAATCTTTCAACAACATTCTTACAAGGCCACAATGCCACTTTCCTATTTCAGTAACGCTTCGCACACCCTGTCCCCCTGTAAATATCATATATGTAACGGTAATTTTCAGAAATATGAAAAAATCGATACAATGCATGTGCCGGGTATATAATACTATACTTATGTATGCAGTTCGATTTCGCTCGAACTTATCTCATTAGTTTATTGCCATTGAGTATTCTATTCATGTCTCGCATATCGACGCTTCAGATTTCACAATAAGATCTCATTGTTGCATTTCCAATAAAGCCTTGATTCGCTCACTGCGCGCTTGATTTTAAACCTGTTATTTATGTATGTATGGGAATCAAAACCCGTAGAAAGTTTTTCTACTAGAAACTACAATATATCTACATATATAAATATCTACGAGGGTGGCGGAATATGTACATACAGTATCGGTCATATCATTAACATCGCCCCCCCCTTTCGAAATTATATTGATGCCACTTTTGTGTATTTATTTTTAATAATTTAAAACTTTTTTAGTTCTCTACAAAATTGTAAACTTCAGTTTAAATCGGTTTTGCTAGAGAATGAACTGTATTTTAATTGAAAATAAGAGATGTGCGATTAATCAATTGAATAATTTTTAAATTAATCACAAAAATGTGATCCTGGGTAATTACTGTGTACTCCTAACAAATTAATTGAAATCTGAGTAAATTTGCTAATGTTTTCGACTTTTCTAGGAAGCAAATGAATTATTTATAATACAATATTTTTCTTATTAAAAAAATACAACGCCAATCGAACACGTTACTATACTCCTGCTTGAAATAAACATATACATATCGTTACCATAATTCACAAACGCCTTAACCAAAATTTTTTTTTTTTATTTTGCAAAAGAAAAAACCATAACATATAAAAAGAATATCAAAAATAGGCAGGGTTTTTTAAAAAGTGGCATGTAACTGCGTTGTTTTCTTAACTTGCTCTTTAAAATTTTTATTAAATTTGTAGTTTATTATATCCTACCAAAATCTGTGAAAAACGCAGTTTTGATTTTGGTCAGAGCCTTTGTGAATTAAGGTAACGATATGCATGTCTATAGATTTTTTCTATTAAAAAATATATAGCAGCAATTATTCAGGTTTTTGATTAAGCAGGTTATGATTAATTAGCTTACTGATTAACAAAATTGAACAAATTCTGATGAATCAAAATATAATTAATCGACAAATTAATCACTTTGATTAATACAAACTGATTATTCTTTGATTAATTAACTTATCAGGTTTCGATTAATCAGCTCGTTTCATTAATTGATTAACCGCACAACCCTACATATTTTTTTTTGGTTTCTCAGTGATTCTATGAATTTTCAAGCGATCTAATTCTAAAATTCTTAAAAACAAATAAATACACATAACTAGTAAACAATATCACTTTGAAAGGGAGGTGCTATTGATGTGAACGATGCTGTACATTGGCCGAGCTTCTGTTCCAATTTGTGGTTAGGGCAACTGGTTTTCATGAGAAGTTTTTTCACCCAGCATCGTTCCCCAAAATTTTAAGGGAATTTATGTATTTTCTCGTTACAATAACAACAGTAGATTTTTTTATAACAGTAGATTTTTTTATAACAGTAGTACACCTGGAGATTTGCCATTGCATGCGACCGTTATTTTAGAATATCTTATTTTTATTTTTGGGATGCTTCTCGGACCTGCTGGCAGTACACATCTCTAACCAATCGGCTGCAGTGGCAGCGTATTCAAATTTGCCAGATTTATCCAGCTAAATAGCATTTTGTTTGACTTAAAATCTCGAACAATTTGTATATGTATTACGTTCTGTTATCAGTAGCAGCTCTTTCTAAAAGCTCACATATGTACATACCGATCTTTGCTTGTGTTTGAATAAACAAAACACGTTTTCTCTCTCTAAATAGCTTATAAATTCAATCTAATCTCAGTTGATTAGCATTCCTAGTTCTACTATTCAATAGCATTTAACTTCGTATTTCCTGTAGCTGCGTAATTAAATTTTTATTATTAAAATAAACTACTATTTCTGGAAAAGTTAAAAGGCCAGAAAATAATAATTTTAAAACATGGCAAGCAATGGTTTCAAACCGCGCACATTTCCCAAACACTCCCCCTTGATATGCTACAACAAACCTGCCTCAGCACAGGTCAACCAACAGGAATACGACGATAAGCGTTTTGAAGCGCTCCAAGGAGAGCTCATCGAGACAGTGATCGTGCCAAAGCGCACCGCGCGCACCTGGACAATGCAGACTGGCGACTTGTGTCGCATCACCGTCTGCGAAGGCTCACAGGTGGGCGATGTTAATTTGTGGAACTTAGATAATACCAAGGAACGTTTCTACTCGGGCAAGACGCGCCAACTACATAGCTCACATCTGAAAGTGTACGATCGCTTGTGGAGCAATTTACCATATTTACGTCCGATGGCCACTTTCGTTTACGATTCGCTTGCAGCATACGGCATTGATGAGGATGGTGGTTCATTACATGATGTGATCGGTACGCGTTGTGATGATTACACTTATAAGCTAATCACCGGCAAAGAACGTGTGGGCAGTTGCCATAGTTCGTTGACTAAAGCAGTGGTCGAGGAGCGCGGCATGAAGGAGGAAGATGTGCATGATGTATGGAACATTTTCATGTGCACTGGTTTCACGAGAGTGAGTTTTTAAAAATTGTAGGTGAAAAAGTCAATTTAATGGTGTTTATGGGTGTTTCTTTCCAGGATACTCAACAATATTTTTGCAAGCCCAGTCCAGCTCGCAAGGGTGATTACATTGAATTTGTAGCTGATATGAATCTTTTAGTGGCATTAAGCGCTTGTCCACAAGGTGACGTGTCTATAACAGTGGGCGAAGAAGTACCTGATGAAGTCTGTCATCCACTTAAGGTGGAAATTTTTCGCAAAAAGCACATATAAAATTATAGCGTTTATGAGTAGTAATAAATATCCATAATCTGGAAAAGGCGAGTCGTTTTTCTTCCCCACTGGGCATACAATTGCCAAAAAGCGAAGAATAGAATAGTGGCGACAATCTCCTCTCATTTTCACATCTCTTTGATTTATCTAGTATAAATTCCACAGTAGCTACATATATACATAGGTCATTCCATACAATATTTACCCCTCAATATTTTTTTGGGGGTGAAATATATTTTTTTACATTCTTTATCGAGAAAAAGATGACACCAACTTTTTATTAAGTAATGGTATTCGTAAATCAAAAAAAAAATCCCGAAATTTTGAGCCCACGGAGAAGTATCTTTTTCAATTTTTTTGCAAACTTTTATTTTTCACAGCCACAAAGCTTTGTGGAAAAGTTTTCACGGGGAAAATTTTTTCGCAAATTATTAATTTTATGTGAAGTGATGAAAAATGTTTTCCCTTCACGTTTTCACAGAACAGAAATTGCCCCCAGGTATGAAAAGTCGTATAGTTAATAAAAAGGTAAAAAATTAAAGAACACGATTTTTAACACATTGCTAAAAATATCTTATCACAAGTTTTCGAAAACCAATTACAAAAAAATAGTTTAATCTAACAAAATAAACCATCTCGTCATAAAAAAAATATATTTTAAGTCTGGTACCTTGCTAAAAATATTTTATCACAAGTTTTCGAAAACAAATTACAAAAAAA